CACTGCGAATATAATGGATGAATACAGGCGGAGTCCAAGGCCCACTCTTCCACTGAAGAGCGGTACGCCGGGCGGAGGGCTCTTCCGCAATGTTCCCTCGTTGACCGGCTTGTGGCAGCAGCAGCGACACTGGAGCGGCCTCCGCACACAAAGCGAGAAGGCACGAGAAATGCAGGAGTCGTGGGAGATGGCACTGACGCTGTTGGGGAAGGAGGAGGAAGGGGAGCGCAAGGCGATAGCCCTCGATGAGAGCAGCTCGTGGATCACCCTAAAAGTGGTGGAGGACCGGCATGCAAAGGCCCTACGGAAGGCTGAGCGGCTAAGGTCCCACGTAATTCCTCTGGAGCCATCTCGACCATACTCAGCGACTCCGAAGGTGTGGGGCGGCGAGGGGGATGAGAAGAAAAAGGACACAAGGACGGAGGATAAGCTACAACAGCCAGAGCGTGCCGCGTCAGTCGCTGCACAAAAATCCCTTCTCTGTGGCGTTATTTGTGGGTATAAATGGCGTGCGCTGCCAAGTGAGGTACGGCCTCAAATCAAGGAGGCAGTTGCTCAGGACATCGCCTGTCGTCTTGACGTCCCTCGAGCGAACATAACAACAGATGAGTACTACGGAGACTCTCTCATTGTGCAAACGGCTGTGGAACACGACGGCACCCGCACCGACGCTGAACTACAGCGATCCATTGCCACATGCATCTTTCCTACTGTCATTGACATACTCAAAGAACACCATCGATTGAAGCAGTATGAAAAGGGTTTCAAGAGTCATTCACAGGACAAACCATGTGAAAAAGCAACTTTAGGGCCTGAACTGGATGTAGACAATATTCTGGCACCGCCCACAAAAGACAAGCAGGCCGCGCCGCCTCCGCACCGAAGAAAGAACATCGCGCCTCTGCGCAACGGGAGGGGCATGATCAGTGCCGTGGAGGAGAAGGCGAAGGTGTTACTGCGTGGCACGGAAGGCACCAGCACCGTGCGCAACGGGAGGGGCATGATCAGTGCCGTGGAGGAGAAGGCGAAGGTGTTACTGCGTGGCACGGAAGGCACCAGCACCGTGCGCAACGGGAGGGGCATGATCAGTGCCGTGGAGGAGAAGGCGAAGGTGCTACTGCGTGGCACGGAAGTCACCAGCACCGTGCGCAACGGGAGGGGCACGATCAGTGCCGTGGAGGAGAAGGCGAAGGTGTTACTGCGTGGCACGGAAGTCACCAGCACCGTGCGCAACGGGAGGGGCACGATCAGTGCCGTGGAGGAGAAGGCGAAGGTGCTACTGCGTGGCACGGAAGGCACCAGCACCGTGCGCAACGGGAGGGGCATGATCAGTGCCGTGGAGGAGAAGGCGAAGGTGTTACTGCGTGGCACGGAAGGCACCAGCACCGTGCGCAACGGGAGGGGCACGATCAGTGCCGTGGAGGAGAAGGCGAAGGTGTTACTGCGTGGCACGGAAAGCACCAGCACCGTGCGCAAAGAGAGGGGCATGATCAGTGCCGTGGAGGAGAAGGCGAAGGTGTTACTGCGTGGCACGGAAGTCACCAGCACCGTGCGCAACGGGAGGGGCATGATCAGTGCCGTGGAGGAGAAGGCGAAGGTGCTACTGCGTGGCACGGAAGGCACCAGCACCGTGCGCAACGGGAGGGGCACGATCAGTGCCGTGGAGGAGAAGGCGAAGGTGTTACTGCGTGGCACGGAAGGCACCAGCACCGTGCGCAACGGGAGGGGCATGATCAGTGCCGTGGAGGAGAAGGCGAAGGTGTTACTGCGTGGCACGGAAGGCACCAGCACCGTGCGCAACGGGAGGGGCATGATCAGTGCCGTGGAGGAGAAGGCGAAGGTGTTACTGCGTGGCACGGAAGGCACCAGCACCGTGCGCAACGGGAGGGGCATGATCAGTGCCGTGGAGGAGAAGGCGAAGGTGTTACTGCGTGGCACGGAAGGCACCAGCACCGTGCGCAACGGGAGGGGCACGATCAGTGCCGTGGAGGAGAAGGCGAAGGTGCTACTGCGTGGCACGGAAGGCACCAGCACCGTGCGCAACGGGAGGGGCATGATCAGTGCCGTGGAGGAGAAGGCGAAGGTGCTACTGCGTGGCACGGAAGGCACCAGCACCGTGCGCAACGGGAGGGGCACGATCAGTGCCGTGGAGGAGAAGGCGAAGGTGTTACTGCGTGGCACGGAAGGCACCAGCACCGTGCGCAACGGGAGGGGCATGATCAGTGCCG